TATTTTCTGCCTTTTAAACAATAATTTAGAATTATAAATCTTTATATTCTTCAGGGGAAACTTACATTGATATTTTATATCCATGTTGCAGAAGGAAAATAAAAGATGAGCTTGCATTTGAAATAGATTGCTTTCAGGTTTGTCTCCTTGGGCACTCAGTTTGTTCCCTGTCCCTATTCCTGCAATGTATGTTCCAAGTGCTATGGCTACTTGGAGCTAACTGTGCACAGTCCTCTCCTTCCCCCAACACCACAGTAAAAGTTAAGTAGCATGGGGATACAGAAGGGCAGCAACCCCCTTTTGCCATAGGACAGGAACAACTCTGGTTTGCTTTGTATTCCAGAAATGTCTCAGAATCAGGCCTTGGCTAAGATGTTGGCTGAGAGCATCCCCTTATTGCCCTGATCCTTCTCTTATTCTATCATATATCTCTCTGTTGCTGAGGAAAGCCCCCTCAGTAAATCCACTCAGCATATCACTGTCTCAGATTCTGCAAGGCATGCCTCATGAACACTGATGAGTGTGATGGCTGGGCATTATTTTATTGTAAAAAATATAGCTAGACCTGGCCTTGAATTCCAGTTTGGGAAGTAGAGAAATAAATATGTATTATTGGATAGTTATTTTATTTTTTTTGTTTGGAGGACCATGAAACTTTGGGTTAGGCAGGCAACTGGAGGACATTTGAAGCTAAGATCAGAAAATAAGTAAAAGGACCTTGGCTTTCTTCTTGGGCTTTCCTAGTACTGAGAAGCGTGTCATGGGGATGTAGCTTCTTTTTCAGAAGGCCGGAGACTTTGGGAACACTGAGTGCTCTGGTGGAGAGAGACAGAGAAGGTACTTGCTTGAGGGGATGATTAAAAAATGATCCTGTAAGAAACTGGTATGGGATAAGACTGCAAAGGGAAAATATAAATGGCCAGTGGAGGCACAGATTTTTCCAGTGTGTGTGTGTGTGTGTGTGTGTGTGTGTGTGTGTGTGTGTGTGTGTGTGTGTGTTGTGTGTGTGTGTGTGCAGAAACCATGAAATACTGTGGTCCTTTCACAGAAATCCAAAGTTGGTTGGAAAAGGTAGCATTTTTTTAAGTATGCTCATGCTTGGTTTAATATAATATAATATACAGATGATTACACATAAGAATAGTTATAGATGCTGTATATGCACTACATAGCTATATCATAATTCCAAAAATGCATTCAGCATAACTTCAAAGGCCTCCATTGTCTATCACAGTATAATGTTTTAAAGTTCAAAGTCTCTTCTAAGATCCATGCAATCTATTTACTGTTATAACGTGTAAAAATCAAAATCAAAAATTAGGTAACATATTTGGTACAGGATATGCATTACCATTCCAAAACACAGGGAAGAGAGCATAGTGAGGAAGTACTGGACCAAAGCAAGACAAAAAAACAACTAGGTGAACTCCAAACTTTGTTATCTTCATATCTGGTGTGGAAATGCTTTCCTTATCTCCAACTCTACTAAGCTTTGTTGACTGAAACACACTATTTCTCTTGAGCTGGTTCTACTCCCTGTTAGCATCTCTCCTCGCCAAGTAGGTATCCTATGACCCTGGCATCCCTTGGGCTCTCCAACTTCAACTTCAACTTCATAGCTTCATGCAATATCCTTTCTACAAGGCCTCCATTCAGAGACACCCCTGATGCATGCCTGGCCTAATGGCTTTAGTACATAACCTGTTTGTTCTATGCTTAACTCTAAAGCCAGAACCACCTGGCCAAAGCTGCCAAGTTCTGCTGCTTGGGCTGGGACATGGCCCACTTGTTAAATTACATCTTTGCCAGCTTTCTGTCTTTCACTACCTAAGCTGGGCTGTCCTGAAACTTGCTTTGTAGACCAGGGTGGCCTTAGACTCAGGGATCCACCAGCCTCTTCCTTTCCATTGTTGAAATTAAAGGTGTTGGAAAAGTAGCAATTTTTAAAGTTCTTAAATTTTATATTGCTCCCTATGAATTCTAAAAGCCACAGTAAGCTCCTTTAGTACATATGATTTTAATTGTTAATATTTTTTCTCTAAAACTCTTAGTAGATAATTTTAAGGAATCTTGGGGCCAAATTGTCTGGTTCCACACATACCTTTTGAATTCTTCCCCCTTTGAGTGATAACATAGTCATGGTTCAGATTTAATTTTTTTTTTTAGCTACTATGCCACATTACAAGTTCTTTATCATACAAATACAGGTTTATCTCATATATGATATATATATATATACACATGAAATATATGTCACATATACATTTAGATTTTTCTCTAGTGTTATGTAAAAGAAACAGGTCACAGAAACTATCAAGTGATTTCTCCACTGTTATATAAGAATAATGTGACTACAATGCTTCAAGTACTGAGCAGATTGATTGCTTACCCCAGGGAGTAAAGTAGCAAGGTGGTGTCTGAGGATTTTCCACCAGCCCATAATATCCATTTCTTCCACAAAGTCAAATAAATTGGGACTCTCTTGATTCCTTAAATCAAATGCAAATAAAACAATACCATACACTCTGATGTTTTTACATATCTGTGACATATAATCCAAACGAAAACACTGTCAGTCTGAAATGTCTCCTCAAAACAGCTAGGTTTGCTGGCATCCACTGTGAACACATGGGCTATCACATCCAAGTTCTACCTGTGGAAAACCTTGGAGGGTCAAAACTTAAATGTGTTTTTTAACTGACAATATTAATAGTAAACAAGGGGAATTTCTAGTCGTTTACAAAGAAGGAAACCCTTAGAAATTAATGATATTACACTAACTACCTCTCATTACTTTTTATTATTTCTTTTTTTAAAAGGATCATGCACCTGCTCTGGATTTTGACAGTCATGGTATGTTCTGGGCTCACTTTCCTATTTTATTCAAGGATGTCAATTCCAGTGTTCCTAGGTGTCAGTCTTGGCAGTTAAAAAGTAACTAGTGAATTTCCAAAGTAGGTCAGTTTTAGAACCAGTTTGAAATAGCTGTTTAAAAACACAGAAGTACAAAGAAAATCAGAAGGAAGCTCTTAATTTTTACAGTGCATGTTTGGGAATGGTACATACAGCAGCTCATGAGTATCTAAATTAGGAGTCCACAAAATGACAAACAAAATCATACACATTACACCTGCTGGCTCAGTTATATATGAGTTAACAGACCACATAAGATTGAGGGAAAAAAGACCTTAAAAACTTTATTGTAATATAATTTCATTATTGCTCTGAAAAAAAAAGGAATATCATTGTCAAGTTACAGTTTTTAAGATAAACCAGGAATTCAGATATTCTTTCATAACATTGCTGATTAATAAATATTTTCAACTTATTTATTTTTAAACATGGCACAGACCAACAAAGAAAATCTCTGAGCCAATATTGCCTCTATAATTCTGATTTTCAACTTCTATTGATTAGTCTACTCTATTCATTTATTCATTCTGGTGATTTGTGACTATTACCCAGTTCAATCTAACCTGTGCTGTGATTTTGTAGAATAGAGGCATAAATACCAAAGCTCACTAACTCAGCATCTCTTATACAATGTTACAAAACAACACAAACCTAATTAATTATTAAATAAGCTTTAGAAGAATTAATGACATATGTGGATTGCAGAAGTGTTCAGTTTGTGTGGTAAGATGAATTTTAGCGCCCTGTAACAATTTATTGAAGAGCAAGAAGGCAACAGTTGGGAAATATCAGGACAAATAAAACAGACAAAAATACAGGGCCTTAGGAAAAATAATGGGATTTGGAAAGAAGGCAAAGAAAATGAAGCAGGTAGAGGACTATTGCATGAAGGCAGAATGCTATGACTAAGCTCCAGGAACAGACTTTCTTGCCTACATAGAACATCAGAGAAAAAATTTTCAGTCTTGAAACCACTAGAAGACCACTCACAGTCCCCATATTTATCATCTCTGTAAACATCATATCTTACATTTGTTCCCTCACTGGGAAAATGAGGCATAATACTATACACAGTATGCTTTATTTTAAGAATTTGCATCAGCTATCTGAGATATAGCTAGAATAATATTTACTATATCATAAACAATAAAGAATTTTAGTGATCCTTATAATTTTTTTAATTAATCTTTATTTTGGGGTAAAGATTCTTTTCTATACTGTTAGACTCTCATACTAATTTATTTTCAAGCTTTGTTTTTCAAATACATTTCTCCTTCATGGCTTTTTGAAGATCTCAGAAATTGACAAAAGGATAATTCTCTCTCTCTCTCTTTCTCTCCTCTCTCTCTCTCTCTCTCCTCTCTCTCCTCTCTCCTCTCTCTCTCCTCTCTTCTCTCTCCTCTCTCTCTCTCCTCTCTCTCCTCTTTCTCTCTCCTCTCTCTCCTCTCTCTCTCTCTCTCTCTCTCTCTCTCCAGGATTTCTTTGTAGCTTTGGAGCCTGTCCTGGAACTAGCTCTGCAGACCATGCTGGCCTCGAACTTACAGAGATCTGCCTGCCTCTGCCTCCTTAGTGCTGGTATTAAAGGCATCACCACCACGTGGCATAATTTGCTCCTTTTAAAAGCTAGGATTTTGAAAGATTTACCATAAAGAGCTGACATGAGGTATAAATACATGCTCATTTTTTGATTGACATATAACTACTGATTTATGGGTTTTACTGTGATGTTTTGAAAGAACAATTTACTGTGTAATTAGCATATTGGCATTGTACTTCATATGTTTTCTTATTATGATCTAATCATAAATGCAGCAACTAGTGGCACTCCACTTAAATCTATGACTAGACCAAGGTCTGAAGTTCATAAATAAAGCATGATGATATTAGCTTTATCCCTTATATTACTATTTGCTCTCTCGTTTCTTGTTCAGTGTTTCCCAGGTGATTTTGTTCATTTCATGACTCTATAGTTCATGACTGTATAACTTGCCATGCTCCTATGTCACAGAGGCCCAAAACACGCATGCGTAGGACAAGCTGTCTGGGCATGCGCTCCTCTCCTGCCCTGCCCCTCCACCACCCTCACTATGGCAGAGGCGGCCGCTGTGCGCCAGTTTCGGCCAGTTACACACCTGATATTTGACCTGGATGGACTGCTTCTGAATACTGAAGATTTATATACCGACGTGTTTAAAGAAATATGTAGTCGCTATGAGAAGACGTACAACTGGGAGGTCAAGTCCCTGGTTATGGGGAGGAAGGGCCTAGAAACCTCAGAGGTCATAGTACAGCACCT